ATAATTATTAAAAATTACAATTCATAAAAGCTTAAAATTTTCAATAAAAAAATTATATAAATTATATTAATTTATCATAACTTTTTAATATTATAATAAAAGGGTCACTCAAAATCTTGGTGACACTAAAGGGGTCCTTGACCTCAAAAAGATTGAGAACCGCTGATTTAGACAAATATCAGTCTGAATGCAAAAGAAATACTCAAGAGTTTTTAAACAGTTTGAATCCAACAGGTGTTCTGCCTCACTAATTAGTTATAAAAATTGGTGCTACGATTATACTACTAAAAAATTTAGATCCTCCCAAGTTTTTTAATGTAATGAGATTTCAAGTAATAGGCTTTAAAAATAAAATAATAGAAAGCTTCTATTAGAAACCAAAATATTGATAGGCATTGCTGTTGGTGAGCGTGTACTTATCCCAAGAATTCCCATGATTTCAATGGATCTACTCTTTCAATTCAAACGTTTACAGTACCCAGTAAAAATGTATTTTGCGATGACCATCAATAAAGCACAAGGGCAATATTTCAAATGCGTCGGCATAGATTTACGCAATAATTGTTTCGATCGTTGGACAACAACTATATGTCGCCTAATTAAGGGTCGATGAAAATAATGTACAATTTATTCTATTACCCAATAATATATTATATATATTATATAGGTTCTATTATCATATATTTTGTAAAAAAAATTTATTATTATTTTCCAAATACTAATTTCACGGACGGAAAAATAAATATATTTAAAAAAAATAGAACAAAATAATACAAATAAATTAAAATACCAAAAGACAAAAAAAAAATTAAACTTAAATTTTTAACTGTAAAATTAGTTAAATTAATCAGATATGATAAAATTTCTTTCAAAACTGTTCACGAGCAGAGGTAATCCAGCTAGTATGATAATATGTTCAATTTCTATATAAAATATATTTTAGCAACAAGCAAAATATTGTATTGTATTTATCTTATTTTTACGTTTTATATTTTTGGATCAATTTTATCATGGATGTATTTGATTTTTTGAACATCAAATCAAAAACATTTCGAATTAAATATTAAGAAACTGCAAACCCTTGGAACATGATTGAGTCCCAATAAATGTATTTTATACATATATTCAGAGTCTATTTTAATTTCCTTGAATGTTATTATCAAATAAATGTCGAAAAATGTCAGGCTACGTTTTCACCAATCGATTTTTAAACATATAAGACATAGAATATTCATTAATATTCTACAAATAAAAAATCATAAAGTATTATAATTAATATATTCATGAAGTAATTTAATATCGGTTTATTTTGTTATTGCTATTTGCAATATTCTATGAATGTATAACGGTTTTTAACAAAAAAAAAAATTCATTAAATGATGAAAATTATATGACAATATAATCAGCGAAATAATCGTATAAGCAACAGAAAATATGTATTTAACATAAAATTTAATATTTTTTACATTTATTTTAAATTTTTTAATTTTTTATAACTGATCCCTACTTTATTTTTACACGAGAATCTTTTGAATTGTATGAAATTATATTAGTATGATATATATATATATATACAACCTTACAGAAATTTATTTATTGTAAATTTAATTACCGATACCAATATGGTTTTTATTTTTATTTTTGTCATCGTCGTGAAAAAATTGTAGTATTATCTCATCATCACTACCACCATCGCGTTTGACTATACTATACCGACGGTGGTGGTCCTGCTATAGACGCCTTCAACAGACTATTTATTTGAAGTTCCTGTGTGAATCGACCCGTATATTTTCCTTTGGTCTGAACGCTCTCACATTCCGGTTGACTCATCTTTAACAAGGTTTTTTTTTTTTTATTCGCCTTTTACACGTTGTTTGTTCTCAAGAGATCGCAATTTATAACGACGCTCACCGACGGCAATACACCGACTGCGATGGAGGCATCGGTGGTGAAACCGACAACGAAGTCCTAGCGGGTATATATATATATATATATATATATATATAACACTACATACTTACTCGATTTTAGCGAGCGCATCAACTTATATAATATAGTACTGTAGCAACTGCACCGACGGCGGATGATAGAGACAACGGTGGTGTATTGTAATTAAATCGTCTTTCGATGTCATTAAGAGACTCCGTATATACCGCCCAAAACGATATTTACGGGAAAATACGAGATGTGACTCTAATTTTACGGACTTTCGCTTTGCCACCAATTTCACCTTTGAGTCAAAGGAATATCACCACGTTACCGAACTTGTCGAGCCGTCTTTCCCGATTCTTTGACATTTCAACTACGACGCTGTGGCGAGGGTAGAGCAAATCATTTTTAAACGCGCCCTTAATATATACATAGATACATATATGTATTTGTATGTGAGACAAAACTTACGGTTGACAAATAATTGCTTCATTTTGATCATTCAACTACTGATATTGATTGACTGTTAAATATGAACAGAAAATAATTTAAACACTATTAGATCTATATAGTTTACTACTATAAACATTTTACAATTCTTCTATCGGTTATCATACTGTCATTTTAGGAATCACCGAGGGAAACGCTTTTAAAAAACACTAAAAATGTAATTATTTATTTATCTAGTTTTGTTGACCAAACAAAAGTATACTCAACACGAATAATATTTAGAAGGTTTTATAGATATAAGCAGTAAAAAAGCCCACTAAAATTATATTGCTAAACGAATTAATATCAAGCTATCGAAGCAAACTTAATATCAAAAACATAAATTACGAAAAATTTTTTTATTATTTTTGTTAATTAATCATTCGGTTAAATATTCTGTCAAAAATTTAATAACTTTATGCTCATTATAATAAAATATTACCTTGATATTTACATTATCTAATATTTTATACATGAAAAATACGAGAATTAATAACTTATTCAATTTTTCATTTCTAAACATAAATACTAGCGCAATTCATTACCAATAATATTTCAAAACTTTACCTAGAATTTTTTTTTTTACATATGATTCATTTTCATTTTCAAAAATAATCAAATCTCGTTTCAGGTATAAAATAGCTACTGCATGACTAAAGACCATAGTTAATTTTATTTTTATTTTTCAGTATAAAAAACTCGAGTACTATTAACTTATTTTAGCTCTGTGATAAATTAACTATTCAAACGTCACACGTTGAGTGAATATTTTCTTTTTACTGTTCTATTTGTTAAATGTAACTACGAGTATATTAACTATATTAACATGAGATATTTACAAAAATGGTGAAATTATAACTAACATAGCGTTAAAATTCGTATGAGCGGTCGCCATTACACGTGTATTAAACTACATGGGTACCCGTGTTTATACTCAAGACGGGATTAAGGCTCATATAATGTATATAAAGTAAACTATTGAAGACTGAAGTATTCTTCTATATTATTATTATTTTTTTTTATATTAATCATTAAAAACTCCGCCTACATATAATTCATATACCTAAAAAGTACATTTAGTAAATATTTCATAGGTCAAATTTAATTTATTAATGATTTTTTTTCAGAATACTATATTATTGTAGGTTTATATTATTTAAATATTTTATATTGCAGTGATAAACTAGTCAGAGTTGATACGTACTTAAAATATTATTGAACTGTATAACTTCTTTATCGACGAACATCCCGACATGCTGGCATACTCAGAATTTAAAAGTTAACTTAATTTTTTTTTTTTTTTAAAAAAACCGTCGCAAATATTGCGTTTTAAAAAATATAATTTTTCGCCGATTATATTTTCAATAATATGATTTATTTTACACAGTTAATACGAAAAAGTAATTTTACAAAAAAAATAAAAATGATGTACCTTACTAGACTTTTCAATATTTAACCACAGATTTCAGACTTTGGTAATTCAGTAGGTATAACGAGAATTTATAATTTGTATTGATACTATATTTGATTGTGTTTAATAGTCATGGTATTTTATAGAGAATAATAACTTGTTTGATATTGAATTATTTGAAATTCAAATTTTCCGCTTTAAATATCAATACATTTATATTATCTATATATATATATATATATATATATATATATATATAGCGCATACGTACAATCAACGGTGCATTCCTGTGTTTAAACGCTCCTAAAAAAAATACCCATGTGCACCCGTGTATTTCATTACCCGTTCACGACCACAACCTCTAGTTTGTATACTAGGAAAACATAACGAATAGTAACATGAAATAATTTATAATTAGTTGGTCACCGACATCGGATTGATGTAGCTGCGATGTTATCATAAGAAATTCAATATTAAATTCAGGTCTACGATGGACGTTAAACAGTTGTGATGTTAAGCTGTTCTAATGACAAGCTAGGGCAATCGATATGACCGGTAATTGATTTAATAATACGTAAATGAATCGTAGCTGGGCATAACGGCTGGTTGGATAGATCAAAGTGATAGGAGGTGAAATTTGTCTCTGATGGAAGATATACATAAAAACTTTGCGATTATTTATTATCCAACTGATCAATGAGTCAGTTTCTCGATGCGTTTCGGGTACAAAATTACCACGAACTTAATTATGGATGTTACATCGACTTAAATTATTGAAATATTTAAATGAAAAAAATAACCATTCCTGTACCGTGACATATTCTATAAATATCCATAGTTTTTCTGCTAATATTGTTACGAAGAAATATTATTATTATTATTATTGTTGTTGATATTATTTTTGACTTAAAATATAATTTCCAGTGACATTTATCATATTTTACTATTGATTGATTTTTTTTTTCGGTTTATGCACCTATGTCTCTAAAAATTATCAGGCCGATCAAAGTCTGATAAGAAATAATATATGAATCAAACATTCGCATTCCACTTGATCGTCAGCTTGACCACATGTATCGACACCCGCTCTCGTCCGAGTCAACAGCACATTGTCTCACGTGCGATATTAATTAAAATCCAAAATTGTGACTAAATTTCGAATATTACGTACCAATAATTCTCTTAACAGTGCCATTCAACCTATGGCCCACGTAACCAATCAACTGAGCTCCCAGACTATGGCCAATTAATGTAACATCGTCGAAGCTATTCACGACGCCGCGGTCCTTCAAACCGTTTAACCAGCTGACTAAATACGGTGCCACAGTGGGTAATTGTAGAACTATATCGGTGTAATCCATTTTCTGAGTCCAATTCGACCAATCGACTAGAACCACGTTGAAGTCCGTCAACCGTGCCAAAGCTGTAATATTTAAAAAAACATTTCATCTTGTCATTTTTATACTATGATTAATGTATAAATTAGTGCGAAAAATTATATTAAACTATATTATTATGGTTAAAACAATTAGACTTTGTTTTATCATTGGTTCAAATTGAATTGCAGTAAAGTAATCTGAAACGCAAAAAACAGTTTGCACTATCGTGTAAATCACCAGTTGCTCAAAATGTAATATCAATAAAATTGTTATGATGCGATCTAAGTTAAGTTATGAATCGTCACTTTCTAGAAATATTTTATTTATTGTATATATTAATTGTATTAAGAGTATATTATTTTTTTTTAACTGTTCAACTTCAGAAGATAATCTAATAATTATACAGTAACATCTGAGTACATTTTAATCTATTAAAATCATCGAGCACTTTCATTTAATGTACCCACAAAAAAAAAATCAGTTAAAACTAAATTAGTATTTTTTACATGGTGAATTTTTAAACTCAATCAACAATAAAACGCATGCTATCGAAGAAAAGCTCTTATATTAAAATATAAATTTATGTGTAAGGTTTTATTTTTTACATTCATTTTCAAAATGTATTAATTAATTGTTAACAAATTTCCAACCATTAATATATAAACATTCTTGTTCATGGATTTTTTTACACGTGGTAATTTAAGTTAACGGGATTCCTGTGTACTCTTTCAACCATCAACATTTTTGCTGACGAAACTAATTTTTATATGATTTTCAATTATAATAATATGTAAATTATCTCTAAATAATTAACATAAATAAACAATTTATTTACTAATTCACATTTTATAGCATATTTACATATTGAAAATATTTACTTTGAAAAAAACAATTACATCCGATTGATATTTATTAATAGTTCCTATAAATATTAATATATTCTTCAATATATTTAAATATCTACATTTTCCATATTACTTGTTTCACCCAAAATTATTAAAATTAAAAAAAGGCATAATTAGTTTTGAAATGATTGTAATGAATTAATAAATATCAAATATTTGTTTTAATTAAATTATTGTAGGTAATCTAATAATTTACAGGTAAATGTTGGACTAAAATTACAACCATAAGCCAGATTTGTATTAATATTCAACATTTTTATAATATATTGGGAATGTTATGGAAACGTACTCAACCATGAATACTATTGTTATATTGATTGCGATGGTCAATCAGGATCGTTCAACTTGAAACATGTACAATCTTGTACAACTTTGCGGTAGATTTTTAAACTAAAAAAATTAAATTTATTTGATGTATTGAAAATTTTTATTAGTTTTTTCCATTTTTTTTTTTTTTTTTTTTTTGAGTTGTATTGAAAAAACCACGAAATTATATTATAAAAAATAATAAAAAAAAAAAAAATGGAATAAACAATAAAAAACTAAATTGATTGTAGCGTTTGGATAGTTTTGCTAAATTCCCTATATGCATAGGAAAAATGTGAAATTATTCTGCTACAAATTTTATATCTAATTTTCTAATTAAAAAATATGCTACATTAAACGATACATATTTATTAAGTCATTAAAATTGTTTATAATAAAAAAGTCAATAAAATAATAACCTCATTGTTAAACCAATAAAATCATTGCTTAGCTCCGAAACGAAGTTTAAGTCTTAATTGTGAAATTATAAAAATAGAAATACGAGAAAATATTAATTACAGTAAAACAAAGTTGTTCGGCTATGGTATTATAAAAATCTCATTATTCTATTAATCGTACATTTTAACAAACTAAAACGTAATGGATAAATTATGTTCGTACAGTAATATAGTCATCATAACTTTTAAACTTTAAAAACATCGATTTACATTTTCCAAAGTTCACTATCATACCACTGTGGGTACTTGATCTGAATCCGTGGACAAACACTAATAATGAACTGTTGTCAGCAATTTTTAAGTTCATTTCGTCCATTAAATTATAACTGAAACAACAATTTATATTTATTATATTAATATTTAAGAATCAAAAAATACAAAATACATATTTATTATTAAATTAAAAGAACATGTTAATTTAATTTTAAAATTTTTGAATCTACATTGATCTTGAATTAAAATATTCGCACTGTTTTTTTGTTACCTATAAGAAAATGTTTTATTCTCCTTGAAATAAAATAAAACCAATAAATCTTTAAATGTCAGAAATGGGATTAACTCAATCATGCATATTCGAATAATAGAATTACTTTACAATAATCTTATTCGTACTTATTTGTTAGTATAAGTTTTTTAAAATATCAACAGTCTTAGTTTACAATCAAACTTTAATACTTTAAAGTGAAAAGTGGAAAAAACGAGTTATAAATAATTCAAAATCAAAATGTAAAATGTAACTTAAATAACCATAAAATCATTCAAATAATTTCGTAAAAACGGACAAACAATAAATTAATAAATTGGTTACTCTTCTTACTTTATAGTTATGGGTTGTTAATAAAAGCAGATCAATTACATATATGTGTGTATGTGTGATTAAGAACGATAATATTTTCAACAAATCGAGCACACTATGAAAAGCAATTGAACAGGTGTTTAAGTCTAATTATAATAGTAAATATGACGTAACTATTCGTTTAAATATAAATAATAAAAATATTATTATTTCAGTAAGTTTTCATCAAATATTTATGATAATTAATAATTAAATATTTATCTATTATCTATAATCTTCACTGTTTTTTATATACTATATTATATAATACTTCATATAATATGTAGTATTAAAAAAATATATTAAATTGTTATGATGATTATATTTTACGCATAGATTTGTATTTGAAAATTTAATTTAATTATTTTCAATCCTATAGATCCAAGTAATAGATAGATTAAATTTGTTTGATAACTTGAAAAAACTTATTTAAATATAACACATGTTTAAAATCAATTGTTTTAATATTAAACTTTTTCACTTTATGAGGTATAAAAATTTTATTTTGAATAAATTTAAAAGTTAAAAAGAGGCTCAATAAATATAAAATATAACTTGTTTTACTTTTAAAGTAGAACAAACAGTTTTATAGTTTATGCAAATTAAAAAATACTATTGTAATATGTATTGGTGGATAATAGGTATGGATACTCGATATCTATTATTTTAAAACTCCGGTTACTTGGAATTATTCTAAAAACTGTGCTGTATGAAAACTTAAAATTTCATTGGAACTGAATCATTAACGTTACAAACCTGAAGTTTTTATAGAAAATAATTTACTGGCAATAATTTTTCCAAAAGTCACAGTGTATTTTACAACTATTTAGTTGATCTTCATAATGTTCTTGAAAGTACATATATATCACACAGACCATTTATTGAACACAAAATCTTTTCATTTTTTTAATCCGTAGAAGAAAAAAATAGTTATATAGTATAGAAAAGTTATAATTGAAAAAAAAAATCGCATTATAAAATCAAATTATCTTTGATTTCATTAATAATGATTGATTTTGCTGTCGAAACTGATGACAAAATGAAACCATCTGTAAATAGTTGTCAACAAAAATACAACTAACAACAATATTTAACTGGATTGAATAGCAAAATAGTATTTTTCTTTGAGATAACGTGACAAAATACTATTATAAAGTGGTACAAATGTGAACTGACGGAGGTGATATATAAAAATTATTCGAATAACTAATAATGTATTGATTCTATGAACTATGATGAAACGATTAGATAAACTGAAACAATATGCGTAAATTTATAACTCGCATCGTAAATAAAATAAACAAACAGCATCACTATTGGTATAAAAACAGCAAAATATTTTATTTTTATTTTTTGAAACCCTAAATCTTAATAATTATTGTAAGATCTATTATATAAATTATATAATTTTTTTCTTATATTACTTTTTATCAAAATATTTGTACTGAATTCCAGTGGCATTGATATTAGCAGCATTAGAACAGGAATATTGTACATTGAATATATCTAAAAATAACACGTGATTAATCGTATTGATATTATATTAACTAAATGCAATTAAAACAAATAAATAAAATGTAAGAATGTACGTATATGAAATTACTTAAAAAAATCAGAAGTATAACATATAACAAACTCATTATCACTGAATTTTAAGCAATACGCAGAACTAACTGTTTTTTTGCTGCATGCGCAATATAAAATAACCGAAGTGTTAACGTTTTTTTTTTAAACTTAGAAAAAAGTGTGTTTGTCCATGGTCATCGTTGAAAATTACTGATATAATTATAAACTATGATTGTCAGTAATGATAACGGCATTGTAATATTATTTGATTATACTTCGCTTAAAAATCATTATTTATAATTCGTGTACAGCTTCCGTAAAACCATTTTTCTCGTGAAAAAAATTAGAAATTAGAAAAAAAAAATCAAAAAAAAATAGTTAAATGTAACGTATAAGGTATAGAATATATTATATGAAACAAAATATCTCGTTGAAACCAATTTTCTTATTGAAATATTATTCGCTTCGGTTGAAATTAGTATTTGTTGTATCCTCCTTAATTTAAGTTTTAACGTGCTACTATAGAGTTTGAAGAGCGAGCGTTTCAAACAAACCTTAAATAACTTATAACATAAAAAAAATTAAAAATAAGAAGTAAGCAGTAAATATTATGTATGATTATTCCATAATAATGTTTAACACAATATTCAGAAGCATAATATTATAGGTAAAGTTATTAGCACGAATAGTTGGTATAATACTATGATTTTTTACTTAATTCAAATTTCTATTCACTCCATAATATATCTGGTAACACTCAAAATATTAAAAGAAATATTTATTTCCAAATCATGCGTCAATGAATACAATTAAAGGAAAATAATAATAAACAAATCATAACGCAAATTATTTCAATTAAATTATAAATAATTATATTTCTGAGGTCTTTACAAAACTACTTTGTTATTCAAAATTATAAAGTATTGTTCATATAAATATACAAATTGTGTAACTACAAAATTATTATTTACCCATTTGATTATTTTGTTTAAAACATATTTAGTATAAAAGAAAATAAATAATTTATTTTTCAAGTACTTATATCAATAATAAAAGAACAATTAAATTACAGGAATCCCAATAATGAATAATTTATGAGAATTTTACATTCAATAGTTTTACATGTATAAATTTAAACAAATTTAAAAATACACATGAAAGTTCTAGTGAGTTGTATAATAAACGAAGTGTAGCATATTTTCAAATTAATTATATTTGATGTAATACAAAAATAAACTAGTTATATCTTTTTAGATTTTAGATTCTTCAGATTACAACATAACGTATGTTAAATATAATCATAAGAATTTAAGAAACGTCAACACCTTTGGAATTAACCATTGCTGCACAACTATTTTCTTTTCGCAATGTTCGTTCGACAATGTAATATTTGTACAGACTCAGTTCGTCACTACACGGCGTGTATTTGCATAAAACGGCTCGTCTAACGTTTCAACAATAGGAATTAGCCTTTACCTGCCCCCCCCCCCCGTGTGCATAGGCAATCAAGGAATCCGCGCACTGACTGGAAACCGACATGACGTGATGAGCAAAAGCCGAAATCATCTCCAATTTTCACACTTGGCTTCGGTAACATCTTACAAATGTAACACTCTAATATAGGTTTATAGAATTTACGGCAGTCAGTGACTTTGTTTAAGACCGCAATCGTTTTCAATCGCAAATTGTTTTCTTTCATTCGTAACGAACAATCGTCTCCTCCGACGACCGATTAATGTAGTTATATAAATGACGTCACGATACTATTTTTATGACTTGTTAAAAAATGAACATGTTGGCTAACACCGAGTCGAACTACTATGCCATCATCATTACGATCCAGTTTCAATACTGTGTTGGTAAACAACAAACAACATCGCTGAAGGGGTGCACGAATTGGGTACATTTATAACACGGTTCGTTGGTTCGTAGAACATCTGTTGAAGGTGCGATTGCGAATTGTTGCTGTGCAATGTTATGGCTAACTAGTATTACTTCCGTTTCAGTTCCTTAAATTCGCCCGCAAACGTTTTCACAGTCTATTGATTGATGCTGAAATATTGAGCATATTGTCTAACATCGATAGAAAATTATGTACGATACTTTAAACATTTTAATATAAAAATAAAATGTGTATGCATTTTTTTTTCTCTTATAACAGTATTGTGAATATCATGATGGTATTATCTAAATATTGGCTATATTTAATGTTAAGGGGTTGTGGGTTCATAATGTAGCGCTTCCGATATTTGAACTCTAATTGCGCCACTAGTCCCGATACAAACATTGAACACCAATCGACGTACATCAACTTTCCTCGTATTTGGTTCTGCGACGTCGAACACCACGATTAGCTATTTGGTCAGATGACTGTGGTGCGCAGTGCCACAAGCTACGTATTCGTAATGAAAAATTGACGATCAAAAGCTTTCGAGTACGAAAAAATAAATAAGCAAATAGAAAAACGACACTCAAAACGTATAATTACGACCGTTGACTAGGTAATATTTATAAGTTTCTGTAGTTAAACATGTGATGTTTCGATTGTATTGTATATAGGATCACTAGTACATCGACTCATCCGACTCAACTCGAACCCGTGTGAAACCACAATTAATGTTGAGAGTCTTGTTATACTGAACGTATCTTATTTTCATCCCTAACATGTACGTATCTTATTTTCATATCTAACATGTATACAATGCGAATAGAGTTCAACGGAAATAGCTCTTCGACTTCACGTTTCGTATACGAATACAACAAATCGACGACGATGAAAAACAATTATTTCAAATATCATAAAAAAACAGTTATATGATCGTACGTTACAAAACGTAGCATACGAGTGGATTACTTTTTTCGCGTACATTTATTGCATAAATTAAACCCGTTGCACTTCGATATTTAACTATAAAATGTATACGTTTTCAATGCAGATTATTACACGTGACGAAACAAAAATGAGCAACAGGGTTATATTTCTATATAAATTGAATAAAACTTCGAAATTAGTGTTAAACATGTTTCAAATAATTTTGTAATGCAATATTATTATTGTTAATGAAAACTGTATAATGTTTAAAAGGGACAAATAAAAAATATATGCATTTATTGTAATAAATTGTCTTCGAGTGATAATTGATAAATTATTTACTGGTAGAAATAATTAACGTTTACTTAAGCTTATGAATGTATACACATTCGATAATATTTTAAATTAATTAAACAAATATTTCGTCCACACTAAAAAACTTACTGCAGAATGTTCTTCAATGTTCTTCCGGATGAGATTGGTACTTTCTTTTTTCTTCTCATAACGATGACCAAAATCTTTTTTCTTTTTTTTTTATTCTTCATATGTGATATTCAAATAAAATATAAATTGTATTATTATTAATTTACTGAAACACTGTCGGATGCACGTTAATTAAGCGTTAAACTCTGGAGTGGGCCATTTATTATTAAATTATTAAACCAAAGCCGTTCTATGAAAAAAAGTTTCTTTTTGTAAATACTGTCATAGCATCTTCTTTGTGCTTTCCAGAAAGAATTATTTAATGTAGTTAATTTAAATATATCATTCGTAGAATAAATACAAAACATTTTTTTTACTTTAAGTCTTACATAATATATATATATATATCATACCCATGTTTTTACTTATAAATTCATAATTTACAGTAAGAATGTGCTATACTTTAAAATAAACAACTATTTTAAATCAAAACTAAGACGCCAGTACCTGTCAATAATGATACATATACTTTTATCATTTAATTAATTGATAACAATCTATAGTTATGGATATTAATTTATAGTATTTACAAAAGGAAATATCCAGTCATGTACAATACAAAATATATAAAATTCTAAAAAAAAAATCACTTAAAACCTTAAATACTACGGTTAGGTTAGGTGTAACCATGGTTTCAAAAACCATTTATAATTAAAAATTAATGTATTGAATGGCATGACCATTATTATTGTTCACACACATTTTTATCAAATATCAAACAACCATAGGTGACATAACCAAGTCATGACCTACTATAATGTCAGAGTGCAAATGTGTAAAATTGATATAAATGTTATATTTATATTTAAAATGTATAATTTATTTTATTTAAAAATGAATTAAGGTAACAATTTACATTTGACGTTAAAAAAGTTAAATCGTGAAAAAAAAAAAAGAAGTTAAAACAAAGTTAACCATCTTATTTACTGTTAAAGCTAAAAAATCAGTCTGGACAAACAAAATATCCAACTGTCTGTCGTCCCTGGTGGTATAAACATTGAGTTTTAAATGAAGAATTTAACAATAAAATATTCTAGTGGATCCGTTTTTTTATATAAGCAACGCCAAACCTAGGAATTTTATTTCGTTATAAATAAATATGAAAAGAATTGTAAATTTTAATACCGACCTAACGTGATATTTAATAGATAAAAACGATTAAGTTTGATAAATATTAAATTATAAAAATAAACATTACATAAAAAAAATATTTAAATTTAAAATTCTAAAGGAAGTGTAAGATTGATACTCATTGCGTACATAGGACAGGAACAAAATATTAAAATAACGAATTATACAACACTAAACAGTCAATCGTATGATAAATTATACAGATATTCATAATTGAAGTAACTATGCTAAACATTTTTTAAAAACTTAATCGATTTAATATAAAAAACGATGAAATTCGAGTTTCTGCATTGATACATCAATTATGCTAGATTCAAAAGATAGTAAAAACGCATATGTCAAAACTTTAAACAAGATGTAACTTCTACAATTACGGCTTCTGGAAAACTCATGGCCTATTCTAAATAAAATACCTAACTTCGTCTGTTATAAAACCATAATTTTCACATTTCTACTGTGTAAATATGCATTTAAATAACTTTATTTACTAATTAATCATACTACATCATAGTTTATGGAATTAGATAATATTAAATTTATCGTTTTAGATATTAATAATAAAATATAATACATGTTCTTGCACTTTCGCATATTAAAAAAATACAAAAAAAAAAAATAAGCATACATATTTAGTGTCAATAAAGTCACTTCAATCATATAATGAATTTCCATAAAATATATCATGTGACGAACTATTTGGAGTAATTCTGGTATTTTTTTTTCACATTCCATCCACACAATGAGTAAACATTTTACATTGACCTCGTAATATTAAAATGAATTATTTTTGCAATATTAGTTTTTATAATTTGGTAATACGTTAAATTAAAATAATTATGCATTATAATTATATTTGTATGTAATTTAATGAGTACCATTGTGAAACGATGAATTATACGAATGGTTTATTCTGTTTGTGGTAGATAATTCGCTTAAAATAAATATCAATAAACAATTTAGAATAAATAACAGAACTGTGTGTACTTTTTAAACACAACCAATCATAAAACAAAACTGGTTTTAAAAGAATTCATTATAGTACCATATGATAATATTATATCATATGTAAAATATTGAATAGTAACTATTAAATTATGATACGTTAGACAAAAATCATAGCCTCTAAGTAAAAATACAATTATTCTTATATTAATGTACAAGGAATTTAATTTAAAAACTTTGTGGAAACGTGTAAAAGAATGATTGTTTATTCGCAATGCTAGTGTTATAAACTGGAGATATATATTTTATATTATCATGTTTATTGTTTCTACAAGTCGACATGCAGACATTTCGAATTTCAACTTCATAACTTAAAAATCCTCTTGTCAATGTTGTACGATAAATTACTATTCGCAAGGATAATATATTTCTTTGGTCCGTCATCGAATGATGTTTCTCAAATTGTTTTTCGGCACATTTGTTCGACGAAATGGTGAATTCGCATGATGAAAACTTCAATGTACGCTCGCATGTGTGTAGAGAGGTTTTTATTCTTTTCTAATTTAGAACTTGAACAACATATCGAATCTAAGGCGACGGGCAAATAAAAGGAAACATAGGAAAAATAAAAATAAAATGGTTGCTCGTATTATTCAGGGTTTTCGAAATGCAACGGCATCCATTCTTCTCTTAGTTGGTACTACGTGAAATCAATTCATTCGTCCACGCTTTAATATATTATACAGTTAATGGGACTGATCGGAACTATATAACTGTGACATAGTCTAATGGTGAGAGCACAATACACAATAGAGTAAAAGTAATCGGCACTGTTGTGGGCGTTTGACGTTGACAACAACTCTATTACCATTGCCAAATAAGATGAAAATAAACAATTTATCCGTTGTCTATATGTACACAAATACACACACACACATACACACATGCTTTTATTGACGCATCAGTTGTCAATCCTTCTAATGGGATCCTTATAACTCTAAATTATAGTATAATAAACAACGTTTTAATCAATAACTAGAATATCCACCAGGACTAACATTTTAATTTTTATTAGAACTATATAGTATACATTAAAATCTAAATATTTTTCAAGTTAGAATTTTCTTTTGATAACTATAGTAAAAAAAAAAAAAAATGATTTTCAATAATAAATAGATGTAAATAATTGAAAATCGGTCGAAGAGAAAACTAGAAACTGGTCAATCGACAAGGAATTTTATCGTTGTACTTAGATAATACATTAATATCTTAAGTATAAGTTAAATTTAGCTTCTTCCTTTATCTGTCATATACATGATTTTCATGTATTATGTATAAATATTCTATAGCAAGGTTATCGAACCAATGTCACGAGTGTAACAGAATGATACGTGCACACATATTTAGTGACACGCCAATTTAGATATTGTTCTTAATTTTTAATTCACCTTTACTTAAACGTTAACAATAATTTTCATATCATTACATTGTATATTTCTCTTTATTTTAGTTGTGACTCGATACTGCATTTAATGTTTCAATAAGACCTTTATTACGGTCGTCGGCAAAGTTTCGGATCGGTGGTATGAATCCACCACACAATTTTACCGGAAGACCATTATTTTTACTAATTTAAAATGTAATATTTTTTTAAATTTTATTTCTTAATTATATTTTATTAAAATAATATGCAATCTTTACAACTTATTAGGCCTTATTAGGCCTATTAATAATCATATACGTGTGATGTAAAGAGAAAAAAAACAACAAACAAAACTACAGACATGGAAGAAGCGATTAAAGGAGCCACCTATTAGTGACACTTTAGCTGTTGCATTAAATTAAATATTGAAGGTATTTTTATGTGATAGAAGAAGATTTAATAAGAAATATAAATAAAAATAAGAAAATATAAAAAATCATTAAATTAAATTAAAAAAGGTCACGACACAATGTTCTTTTCGACCTACGTTGAAGATTTCCAGGAAGGTTTGGAATGGAATGATTTTTAATAAGTGGATTGTAGTGATTGGAAAGTTTGAGGTTCACCTATTGGAGAAAGTTTTGGCTTCTTCATTAATTGTTTTTTTTTTTTTTTTATATATATATATATATATATATATATATATATATTTAAAGAACCCTCGGCGGTATGGGCTGTTGGGCTTACAAATATTTGATAAATTACAATGAAATTATTTTCATTTTTGAATATTTTAGTGTGAAAATTGACGGTTGTGATGAATTGGATGATGTTGGCTATAGATTGACGGTTGTTGTGGATTATTTCGACTAGTGATTTGAGCAATTTGATATTTGTTCGAATGTTGTTGTATATTCTGCATTCTGTGAGTATGTGTTTTATAGCGTCTTGGACACCGAAAGTTGTGCATATTGGAGCCTCCACCTTGGCCATTAGGAAGCTGTGGGATATATGGATGTGTCCAATTCTGAGTCTGATCAGAATGACTTCGAATTTTCTGTGTATTTCGAGGGGAAGGTCCATTTTTCTCTATTATGTTTGTTGTGATTAAATTAAATGAAGTATGATAACCATTTATGGTGCCATTTTAGTTGAAATTTATTTGTTATTAGTGTTTGTATGTCTCTGAATGAGATAATTTGTATGTATAATGATAATATATAGGTAATTTCGGTTTTGGCTGCGACATCAGCGAGCTCATTTTTTATGATGTTGGAGTGTCCGGGAATCCAGAAGAGTTTAATTTTGTAGTTGTGGGTGTTTTGTAGCGTGTATGTTTTGTTTTGAATATATAGGCCAATGTCTGATGGATTATATGCATTTTTGATATTATTGATAACATTAAGAGAATCTATGAAGATAATTGTGTCCTGAAGATAGTGTTCGGTTATTAACTCGCGAGTTTTAATTATGGCTTTGCTGTGAAAACTTAGCAGGAGCTTGGAAATTTGTACATGAATTCGGTGTTGTTCCAGTTGACTGCAGCTACGGCCTCGACATGCTTTTTGGATACATCCATGTACATTTTTTCGCTAATGACGTTTTGAATTAGATGAAAATATTCTTGTTTATAAATAGACAGGGCTGTGTCGTTTTTTTTTTTTAATTTGGAGAGTTCGGTGTTAGTTTCGATGATATTTTTCCATTGGGGAGCATTTGTTGATATTTGAATTTTTTGGCTGTTCCCCAAAGTTGTAAATCGTATGTCCATATAAGTTTTAAAAGAGATTTATAAATTATTATTTTTGTTTTTAAATTTGGGAATCTGTTTAAATAAAGTGATTTGAGCATACAGGATCGTGAAATTAGTAGAATTTTTTTAGTTTTTAAATGGTTATTCCATGTTAAGCATTTGTCGAGATGGAGACCTAAATATTTGATCGTGAAAATGCAGGGATTGAAGTATTATTTATGAAAACATTAGGGCAGTGCCCTAGTTTTAGAGTGAAGGTTATGTGGACTGATTTTGTGCTATTTATTTTGACCATAAATTTTTTATACCAGTCAATAATGTAACATAACATAAAATCATACTCAAGTGTATGTTTTTATTAATTGTCTAAGCGAAAATTGATCAATGTTACCATATTGCAGGGTAAATAAAATTAAATGAAAAATATTTGCCATCCATGCTCTATAGTCTTCGATTATGTTTAACAACGGTGATGCAACATTTTTTTAAATGTATAATTAACATTTGTAGTACAAAGATTATACATATCATTATATACTTTGCTCAAAATATAATATGCATTAAAAAAATACGTTAAAAATGTTAATAACCTCTATTCTAGACTAATTTTATTATTTTTAATTTGGTAGATAACATCGAACTGAACATGAAGTAGTTGTCCAAGTCAGGTATACAGATCAATTATCATGGCCGACCCGGAGAGGACAAGATTGGTGGTACTAGGTGACGCTGGCGTCGGGAAGAGTGCCATATGTAAAAGGTTTTTGTACAATTCATTTTGCTCCAAATATAAGACTACGGTAGAAGACCTTTACAGTAAAGAATTCAATGTTGGAACAGCTCAACAACTCAAAGTAAGTCATTTAATATTTAGAACACTATAAAAGCGATTAAATAAAATATTTTACAAACTGTTTGATTTATTTTTTTATTTTTAAACTTGTTAACACTGAACTTTGAATATCTTAAGATACACATTAAAAATTACATTATATTAATGTAACTTTAATACTTAAAAATTGAAGTGACTGAACATTAAACAAAATACTAAAGTAAATAAAAATTATTTCCTGCCAGGATTAAATTCAAACCATGAAATTTCTACACCTAATTTTTAAGTGTTAACTATAGATTAATTGAAAGCTTTAGCGTTAGTAATTTTGTTTTTTTGACTAGATAGATGCTTGAATAACAAGTAAAATCCTTTCCAATGAGGATTCCTAGCCTATCTAATTAATTAAATTGTTAATACTAAAAACGTCGTACATTTATTTGACTAATAAATTTGAATTTACGCCTCTTTAAATTGCACTTGCTTGTAGCTCTTCAACATATCATAATAATTTAATAAAATAAATATAACTATTTTATTTACTTTTATTTTCTTTAATTTTGAACTTAATTGAAATACAGTTGTAAATTAAACAAATACGTAATCAAATGAGAAACACGTTAATAATTTAGTTGAACGTTTTGTTATGAGTAAGTTGAAAAAAAAAAATGACAATATAAATTATATCAAGATATAAATGTTTTTGTTAATATTTTATAATTCAAGACTGTTGAAATGTGTTTTATTTTTTTATCTAGAACCATAATCATTTATATTGTTTTAAACTAAATTTCATTTAAACAGAATTTTTTTTTCTGTTCAAATGGCTGTCTGATAAAATATAGCAGTTCGGTGAATCCTTCAGACCAAATAGTTGTCGTGCATGGTTTTATTCCCTAGATAGGATATGGTTTTGGTGGCTGTATTATAGATAGTCGCACCAAATTTGAACATCGTGTAGGTCATTACAGTTGATATATTGTACATGATATGTATTTTTATATGTTTAAAAACAATAACAAATCATTGAAATGAAAAAAAAAATGATTCAGAACAAATATAGGAACAATTTATTTACCGTGTCTACATTATAATCATTGAAGATTTCTGTATTACATAGTGTTTTGCGTTAGAATAATGCATTTATTCTATACGAATACTTACTAATTTTTTCACTTTAAAATAAGCTCAAACATCTTGCGTTTAATTGACATTTTATCTATATACTGAAATTGCAAGTTAAAAAATCCGAAATTGGGTAAATTTTAAAAATATATGAACAAAATACTAGGTAGACTGGAAAAAATGTATTTAAAATTTGAAATTTTTAAATGTGGTTGTAAAATACAAATAAGCACTTAATTTTAAAATTTAAGAAGATCAATTTTTTTTTTCACAAAAAAATAAACTGTAATATACGAGTGCATTGTAATTCAAACTTTACACTTATATAAGTATAATAAAGGTGCAAAATACTAATTAAATGTTTTATTTTATTTTTATTTTTGCATTAAGCAATTGAGCTCTACAATTATAGATAATAATTAATATTTAAGAGAATATGATAATAATGAGTATAATTATAACAATAAAATGTACTATTAAGACCGGAGTATTGTTTATGAGGTTTCTCTGTTTTTACTTTGATATTTTATAATGAATTTATGTTATAAATTTCATTATTATTTTCGTTATACAGATCTAAAAGAAAAAATCAGTAAAGGAAAATTGTTTTTTTCTTATACTTTTCTTATACTTTTATTCTTATTCTCGACTTCCTTGACTATTATTTCTTTGACCGGTACTTCACTGGAAAAAACGACGGAAATATCGGTGCTTAAGATAGTGTGGAGGAAATTTCTGAGATGATCTTAAACAGACATAGAACACATTGAATAAATATGTTAGAATTACTGTCAGTTTCACTCAAATGAACCGTTATAAAACTGTAATTGGCGAAATGGTTAGATCGGACAATTAAGTGATGTAATAACTCTAAATGAAAGCAAAGGAAAATTAAAGAAAAACATAGGGAATAGATCAGTTGGATATTGGTTGGTGTTGAACTAAATATGATATAGATTATTAGGTATATTTACACTCGTGCGGTTTTTCATGCGTAAGATGCATGGTGTGATTGCGTACTATGAGTTGAACGAAGAAGCAATGGCGTATGTCCATTGGAGTTGAATGGCCACATATTCGTGACCCACGCTACCGTCTTACAATAATACGATCAAAACCGTAGACAAAACATAGTTGATATGAATTACTTGGAATCATTAAATAGGTCTGTTAAAAAGGAAAACGGGTCTCCTGTGGCTAAATATCTTAGCATTATTAACAACTTAATTTTACCTAGAATAGTCAAGCCTTTCTAAAACAAGTATTTTGTTTTACTGTTTCCGGATCAATTAGTTTTAATATTGAGTAAACATTTGCTCTAGAAAATGTCTAAATAGAACATCTTCGTTTAATTGCAAATCATCCATGGTTATGAAATGTCGAGTTTTTAAATAATGTTTAGTCCAATCGTTTATAGGTAACTACAGGAAAATCGCGAGGAAAAAATCAAAATAAGTATATAATAGCATATTTTCACGCATCAAATTAATAATAGTGTGAAGATTGTTGATTTCCAAAATTTTAACTAACGTTTCCTGATGACCATGATCTCTATTTAAGTTCCTGAACCGTGAAGCCCCCGATGCGCTTCCCTGACAGCTGCTGCGACAACGGTTCGTCGGAAATCTTGTAATCTACCAGTCAAAATAGGGCCAGGGTCAGGGCGATTATACGGACGGGAATTAAGTGCCGGAGATGAGGAATTCAAACAACGATGACCAAAGTACGGCTGAATTAAATTAAGCATCAACATTTACCATGCATTGTGGACCGTTGGTATTACGTGAGGACGCCTGTCACTGTTCGCCAAACGTTCTCGTTCGACCGTAATGGTTCGACACTGAACGCACACGACAAATAATTTCCAGAACCGACGTTAAGACGATACGATGTTATAGTCGAAAGCGTTCGTTTGGAAGACTCCTTAGTCCTCGAACAAAACAGGCCACCGCAGGCTACTCGCAAACCAAATGCACGCCCTCGTCGGACCACCATGTACATATCCATTAATCCACCGACCAATTCGCGCGCATGGTAATGACGGCGCGGACGTGGACTTAAGTTGTTCCCTTCATACCGACTTACACCACGCGCCTTTTCAGAGGAATAAAAGCGAATATGAAACAACCATCGGACACTTAACCGTGGATGGTTAATGATTCGATTAAATAGCACTTAGGTCTAGCCCCGACCATCTATTCCAGACTTCTCTGCTGCGTTGTACATAATAATTGCACGTACATTTGGTATACATACATATATATATATATATATATATATATGTATATGTATATAATGTACCGGTCTCGGGCCAGTGCCACCACCCGATCGGACCTGACCGGATGTACAGGACTTCCTATATACATTTATGGTACGATGAGGTGATGTGTGTCTGTGTCGTTTCCCGAATTAATTAATAACATCATTCTTTCCGCTTCTATTTCTCTCTAAATGTCTGTCTAATGCCCTATCTTTCTCTCTCTCTCTATCTCTCTATTTTCCTCCCTCTCTAGTTCATCCCCTCTCCCGCACATTGTATTACACGCCGCTTTACTGCTACCGTAAGCGGTACATTTGCCGAACAAAACATAATTGTTTCTCGACCAATCGAAACTATTTATTATTGTTTTGTTCTCAGACAATTGATTACCGGATATCTACACACACATATATGTACGTATAAATATATTGTGTTCATCGATATGTTTAGTACAAACAATTCCGCCGTTACATCATCATTTATAGTAATACAGGATTAAAATATTATTATAGACAAAACGTTCTGATATACGTATATAAAAATAATTTTTTCGCCGCTTGTAATCATTTTGTAGAATACCAATTATCACATAATTTTCAATTGTTCTTAACAGTATATCACGCGTTGTTCATCGGATTATCTACTTATCTTAACGGACAATATAGTATCATAATACTATTATTTTTCTCTTATTAATATTAATCGACGTACTGAACAGATAATAGATAAACTTATTTTATCTGCTTGTATTTTCGTATTGTTTTTCATTTACATCAATACTTTATAAGGCACGCAAGATTACACCTTAATTATACAGAAAAATATTACTTTTACTGTGTAATAAAATATATCGTACGTTCTGTGGGTTACCCAAAATTGCCGAAATTCCCATAAAACACAATTACTCTTGTACAGTGACCATACGCTTGATAATTAAACTAATATAAATACCAATAATTAATCGCCTCACATTAAACATTTCAACCTTTTATTTATAAGTATTTTATGTTTGTATATGTCATTTGTTTAAAATATAATTTGTTACTTGAAACTAAAATAATAAAGTATATATTCTGTTTTACAAAATATCTGTTAAAACATAAATGAATTATATGATATGAAAACAAATTATATGCCATAAATAATAAATTAATATTCACAATAAAGATGAAAATTAATTGGTTAAATAAAAAAAATTGGAAAAAAGTTTATTTTCGGGTGAGACGATTGTTGTTAAAGTTATATATTTGTATACAATAACCGGCAAATATAAATGGTAAATTATTTTTTTTTTTCTTTTAAATTATGAGAAAAACTTTTGAACAAATTAACGTAATAATTATTTTACTATATAATTCAATACTATAAATACGATATTTTATCAATCTTTTACTTATCTTGAAAAATCAGCTTTACCAAATTCTTGTATTGATATGCTGTAATAACACAAACAACATGAATAAAAGAATCAAAATAAGAAATACCGCATTATAACTTTCGATTCTCGGTATCAAATTCGTTATATTGGCTGTCAGCTTACACATTATGACAAACGTATTATGCTGAAAAGTTTCAAAATCTATGGTTCTTTATATTACTTATACAGCTGAATTGTCAATTTCTCAATTTTTAGTGCC